GAGACTCTACCCATAAAACCCAGTTTGCCTAATCCAGCAGATATATCTCGAGGGGCAGGGATAGCATATGAAAACTTAAAGACCAGGGTGCTAGCTTACCTGCAAGAGCGACAGATTCGGCATCAGTGTATCGGGCTTTCACTTTGTTCCTCTCCGAGCGGATAATGGTCCTGCAAGCATGTTCGTATCCCCCGTCAAAGGCGAAATCCTTGGGTGTCGGCCGCGGGGTGCCCGGGCCGCCCTCTCTCCTCCCCGTAATGGCTTCTCGGAAGGAAAGCGGCCCTGTGGGTGAGGCCGGAAGTGTCCCGTTTTCCGTGGGATTGACCGTGGAATTGCCCGTCGGCGAAGTCCCCTTTGGAGAGGGACCGGCCCATGGGCAGTGGCCATGATGATCAGTGCAGAGTCTCCGGCGACAGAGGAAGCTACTCTGGCAACGTGCCCTGTTGGTGAAGGTGAAATTGGCCTAGGCCCGAGAATACCGGCCGCAAAATCTGGCCTCGGGGTAGTTCTGGCATTACAGCTGGCCGGACGTGTTTTTCCAGTGGCCGGGTCGGCTCCGGCGCCGGCGGCGGCGAGGACGGAGGCTGCCGGTTGCGGGTGGATGTTGGTGACGAGATGAGCTTTGCCGGATGGAGCGGCCTTCTGTTGACAGGCAGTGGTTGCGGTTGTAAGGTGTTCGGCTGGGGGGATGAGCTGTATGGTGTGCTGTGAGGTGTTGGGTTGGGACATAGCAGGTTGGGGGTTGGGCCGCGGAGATGGCCCGTGAAAAGGAAGGTCCAAGAATGGGTTGAAGTGGTTGGTTTGGTTTGAAGGCTGAGGATCAGGTGGGTTGGTGATTTTATGGGCCTGGAGTGTAGCCTGGTTGGTTTTAGAAGGGTTAGGTAGAGAAGTGGTTTGGTTTGCAGCCGGGCCTATGGAGAGAAGGCAATCGGCCTGTTGTTTATTAGGGCCAATTGAAAGAGGGCAGTCGGGATGGGCCAGGGGATTGGGCTTGGGCAAAAGGTTATTAATTTGGCCCAAGTTGGCACATGGCTGGGTTGTCCCAATTTCCTTCAAAAACCCGAACCCTACCATTTCGCCGCCATCTGAAGGTTGGGGAGAGGAGGACTGACCAATTAGCAGAGGCGAACTAGCTTCGTAAGATATCTTCTCCGGCGGAGCAACACCCATCAACGGTGAGTGCGACCCGAAGCCCCTTGGTTCATTAGGCCCAGTTTGTTGGTCTTGATTTTCTGCTCGCGGATCGACGGAAGGTCTGGCCGGCCCATTTGAAGCCCGATTGCGGAGCTCAGGGGGCCCGGTTCATTGACGGCAGTGACTGTGTTCATTTTTTCCGTCAAGCTTGTTACTGAGGGTGTCGGCTCAGCGACTCCGACCCCATTCTTCTCGGCATCGACACAAATTTCTCCTTCTTCTATGTCTTTTCCTTCTTTCAACTTCTTTGCTTTATATTTTTCGAGAAGAACTGAAATAGAATCTCGAAATTCCAGATTTGACAGTAATAGTTCCAAATCTGAAGGTGCCATGATTGACCAAAAAATGATAACAACTAGAGGACTAATAGGAATAATAGGGTTAAGGAATGGATAAAATGAGAGAAAACAATGCGGTGGCCGCGGCGGCCCGGAAGGCCGCCGCGGGCAGCGACCGGAGGGGTGACTAGTCTGGGGTAGTGGCTAAGGGGGATGGGCTGCAGTGGGTGAGGGTGTGGGTGAGAAGTTTTAGAGAGAGAAAGCTAGAGAGAGGTGAGAGCATTTGTTTTCTGTTGATAGCACTTGTTGCTAGGTTATTTCTTTCTTGCTGCTAGGTTAGTTGTCTGATGCTGCTAGGTTATTTTCGCCGGAAGTCAACGCCGGAGTCAACTAATAATTATTTTATTATTTAATTAATGTATATTTTAATTAATTTTGATCTAGACAAAATGAGTGGCTAAGATTGAGTCTCACGTACTCATTTTAAGGAGTGGTCTCATTGGATCCATCTCCTATATATATATATATATATATATATATATAATATCATTAATTTTATCATTATTCATTACGCAAACAAAGACACGGACTCAAAAATTGGCTAAAATATATAAATATATAAGTTGATAAATTTTAGCCAATTTTTGAGTCCGTGTTTTTGTTTGCGTAATGAATAATGATAATTTAAATTATATATAACAATTGTTCATAATATAATTAAGGAAATCTTAACTAAACACGTCCCTTATCTTAATTCTCACCAATTTTAGTCATTATCTTAATTATCATCCTTTATCTTATTTTTCTAAGTTGATAAATATTATCCCATTCATCATACTTATTTTTTCCAATTTGATAAATTTTAAGTAGAACTAATAATGTTGTATACAAAGAAATTTTTGAGATTTTGAAATATAATATCAATATATAGTAGTTTTTATTTTATAAAACTTCCATATATTTATTTTTGTATAAAATTACAATAACTAAACTATTTTACTTTTTTCGTTCAATTTATTTTTTCATGCACCCGTACAGTACACAGGTGTCGTATATATATATATATAAAAGGTTGGGTTCAAGTAAGAAAGAGTCTTAGTGAAAAAAAATAAGAATACATCGTAGCCATTCGATCGGTTGATCCAATGAATAGAAAAAAAACTAAAACTATATATTCATTAGCGGTAATATAGTAATTTAATACACACAAATAATGGGACCCACAACACATACCAACTCACACGTGACATGTGGTTGTCTCCCTCACAAATCTATCTCTGTCTGATGCTATCTCTCTCTGACACACACTGCCCACACACACATTAAACACGTTACACACACACACACACATTACACAGATACTCCCGTCATCGTCGCCTGCCATGGTGCCATCGCCGGTCGTCGCCCTCAACTGCTCTCATGGCAATACCTCTACTATGGCCCCTACTCTTGTCGGCTCGCAGTGACTTCCATGCCATACTGTCGCCCCTCACCGGCTCGCAGTGATTAATAAATTCATATTAATCATAAATAAAAAATACAAAATATATTGTGTACATTCACATTAAATACATTTTGTATATTCACATTGATTAGTGTGTATATTCACATTTCATTAAGTTTTTTATTTTTGAATTGCACATAAAAAAAAAAAAACCTCGAACTGTATGATGGATAATAATATTAAACATGGTGTATATCAGAGACCGTTAGACTGCACAACACCGTCAGTCCAGATGCATGAGTTCGATGACATTACACGATTGAAAAAAAGAACACCATTATTTATTTTCAACAAACTATAATATGAAACATTAAATAAAAAATAAATTTATTAAATATTTTTTTGTTTTATATAGGTTATTTGATAAATACGAAATAATGTTAATTAAAAATACATTACTAAAGTTTCTAAAATTGAAATGCACATAAAAAAAAAGATAAAAATCTAATCAATAGATTGCATAATAATGTTAGTTGGAATGCACGTTATTGTCTATGGGAGTGCACACTATTGCTTTCGCTATTTTATTATTACATATTTCCAAACAATAATAATGTAAATATTAAATATAAATATTAAAATACTAAATATATTTTTACATAATATAAATAATAAATCTTTCTATTATTTAGGAAAATTCATTTTATTCCCCTTTCTTGTCAGGAGTGATTAATTGATCGAATCAGTTACTTCAGTTCAATTTTAGTTTGTTTCGAACAAATCATTAAGAATGAATGCGATGCAAGTGCACAATAGTGCTAGGTAAATTGCCCGTTAATGACTATCATATTGCACAATATAGACATAAACTGATCTAACAATAATATTTAGAACTTAATCCACCTTTAGGGTTTAACATAATAAACATTCTGAGTTCACTTCGGGGACATCATCAAACCTCAACGTTTGAAGTACATGGTGACTGTACATATTTTAACTATGCACCATGTCATGTATCATTACTACGTACCCAACTCAACCAATTATTGATTAAGAAACAATGAACCTCACCGTGATGAATCAAAATATTAACTACTACGTACATGTGACTGTTTATATCTTACGCGTTAAGCATACACAATAATTAGCAGAGACCTAGTTCATTTACGCCGAATCAGTATAAAACAAACTGCTCCTCTCCAGGACTTGTTTAATACACAATTGTACTAGTGCAACTAATCAGTCAAGACCAACTGTACTACTCACACTACAACCGTTCGGATGGCTTGTTCAATTCCCATCTAGGTTGTGAACCATTTCTTTATGTTTCTCAAGTCACTGATAAATGATCTTCTGTCCATACGTGATGAACCATATATCTAAGTGCAAAACAATAGAACACACAGAACTTGTTTAATCAAACATGAATTATCATTCAACAAAAATAGTGTAAGTACCTGAGCTTTTAATATATACACTAACACCTTATACCCGAGCTACAGATATACCTAAGTTGCCCGAGCTACCTAGTACCCGTGCTAGAGACATGCCCTAGCTATCCGAATTACGTGGGCTCTCATACTCTTTAACCAACCGGCCTAGCTAGTCTTCGTTCATACCGAGCTAATCGTTGCTGGTTCAATCGAAATATCTTTATGTGCTATATCAGGTGGTGTTGGTGTGCAAACGTATTCTGCAGCGACGTTGATGCCTAAAGAATTGCAGCACTAGTAAAGATAGAAACAGATTATTTTGAGAGCAATGAATGCAAACAATAGGGACATAACTGTAATTTTGCACAATATTCCAAGATAAATAATATTTATCATACCCTTCCCCCATGATCACTTTATATTTCATATTCAGGATTTTTTTGGATTTAATCTTGGATCTCAAAATTATTTCGGGCTTTTATCATTCAAACAAATAAAATATTAGGCAATGATGAATGGCTTTATCATAACTTATCCTTCCAAACAAATGAGCTCCAATAGAACAATAATATCACATGCCCATTTTTTTTATAGTAGTAGAATAAAATAATAATTGCATATAACGGACTTCCAATTTACATCTCTTCTTTTCTCAGAAGTTGACATCAGCTGAACGCGGATGTCATTTTTATTTTTATTATATGAAAAAAGAAAAACGCGGATCGATTATTCAAATACTCGTACGCTATTTGGGGAAGAACCAAATTTATTCAACTCTGGCCAGTCAACTTGTGTTGTGTTGCGGTTTGGTATGGCATCGTTTTAAGATCCCAATATCTATTACATGCGGTTCTTTGAAGTTCAAGATCATCATTGTGTGTAAAATCCATCTACTTACTGAGAAGCAAAGAAAAAGTATAAAGTACCACACATAATTCCAACAGAATTGCTTATTGTTCCTTGAAATGGTAGCGTGAGATGAGTAAATCTAGGAGCTTTATCCAAAACCTGTTCAAGCCCTTCGCACACAACTCAACGAGAGGTCAGTATTTTCTCCCTTTTCATTTTTACTTTGCGAATTTTCGTTTTCCGTGTTTATTTGGGTGCCCTTGTCCTTTTTTTTNATTTTTTTTTTTTTTTCCTTTTTTATTTAAACTCTGAATTTGTGATGAAGACGATAGCCAGGAGGACTTGGAGATAATTGCAGCACAAGAGCAGAGGCATTTTTCATTTGAGGCTCTTGCTGCGGCCACCAAGAATTTTGACCCAACCCAGAAGCTTGGTGAAGGGGGCTTTGGCCCAGTTTTCAAGGTGAAATAACATTAGCTAAGATCCGCTTCTTGATTACATAGTCTTTCAGTATGCTTGTGTTTGTGTGTGTGTTTTCCGTTGTAGCAGAATTTGAATTGGGTTGGATGAAAATTGCAGTTTTAGTATGTTTATGTGTGTGTTTGTTTTGTGGGTGTTTTCCATTGTAGCAGAATTGAATTCGGTTTGATGAAAGTTGCAGTTTTGATATGGGAAATATGGCATGGAAAAATGAAGATTTTTATTTATTATTATTTTTGGTATGCACAAGTGTATTTATTTGTTGTTGTTTTCCATTTTACCAGAAATGAATTGGGATCCATGATTCTTGCAAATTCGATTAAAGGAAAAGTGGATCTTTAAATAGTTCTTGATTTTCTTCTTTTGGCTTCTTTTTGGCCTTGTGGATGTGGGTACGATTTTCATTAGGGGAAATTGAAAGATGGGAGAGAAGTAGCTGTGAAGAGGCTCTCACAGAGATCAGGTCAGGGTAAAACTGAATTCCAGAACGAGGCAAAGCTGTTGGTACGTGTCCAGCACAAAAATGTGGTTAATTTTGTCGGTTATTGTGTGCACGATTCAGAGAGGCTGCTCGTTTACGAGTATGTGGCAAATGAGAGCCTTGACAAGCTTCTCTTCAGTAAGTTTTTTGCTACATCTTTTTGCGAATTTTGGATTTTAAGTCACTTGGTGTCCTGACATAAAGATGATCTTACTTTTTGAAAAATTAAGTATGAAATAATGAGGAAATTGATGAAAAAGCTAATAGTTACTTGCAAATGATATGTTATTGAAGTTAGCATTATTAGTAGTGACAAATTTCAATGTTAGGCATCGTGGATAAAGGACGGAGTCTTTACATCAGTTTTAGTTTGAAAATGATGATTTGTAATTGAAAGACTTGGTTATAACTATGTTTTTGTTTCTATATTGGTGTGCTACCAAAATTATATTTAAGCTGATGTAAGACTGAAATGTACGGATGTTAAAAGATGAAAATTTGTAGCCACATGTAACCACGTATGCTTGAACATGCTAGATTTCACGATGGTTTTTGTTGGCCTATTTTTATCTAGACTTTAGCATGCCATGCCACAAGATATCTGTTGAATGTTGTGCATTTCACCGGTTTAATATGTCAAATAATCAAATATTGTATGTTATATGGCTCTATGCTGCAACAATTTTTTTCCAGTTCTATAATTGTTCTTTTTTTTTTTTCTTTTTTCCAATGAGAAGCCAATATTTCGGATCCTTTGTTTTTCCCGAAATTTGTATTGTTAAAGAATTATTTAATCAGTGATAATCTATGGGATTTAAACATCTAAATTGATAGCAAGATAATGAATGATATTGACAACACATTACGTGCCACTTGTACAGAACCTGATAGACGAGAATTGCTCAACTGGAAGCAAAGGTATGACGTGATAGCGGGAGTTGCAAAGGGCTTGCTTTACCTTCATGAACAAGCTCCCTGTTCTATTATACACCGAGACATCAAGGCCAGCAATATCTTGCTAGACGAAAATTGGGTCCCCAAGATAGCTGATTTTGGCATGGCTCGTCTCTTTCCCGAAGATCAAAGCCATGTTAGCACTCGTGTGGCTGGTACCAAGTATGTTTATTCATATCTTTTGAATATTTGAGGGTTAATTACAAAATTTACCCCAAAGACTCCTAATTACAAGAACGCCCAAGAAATACAGAGATGCGTAACTTAGTATTTACTTGAAAGTACCCCACTCTCTCTCTCTCATTGTGAAACAGAAATGTTGTAATTGCATATTTATAATTCAGATGTGTGTGTGCCCTATTGAACAAGTTTAACAGTAGTGTACATCTAATGATGCCATCTGGCAAGAGCTAATATGAATGCCTTAATTTGACTGCAGTGGTTATATGGCACCAGAGTATCTCTTTCATGGCATCCTTTCTAAAAAGGCCGATGTTTTCAGCTTTGGAGTTGTGGTTCTTGAGCTGATAAGTGGACAGAAAAATTCGGCTTTTAACCGAGATCCTGATTGCTATAGCCTTCTTGAGTGGGTATGAGATTTAAATTTCAGTAGACATGTTTTCTAAATTCCGGATTTAAACTCTGGTTTACTGCTAATTTAAAACAGTTATTTGCTAAATTCAGTGTGTCATGGGAGGTCTTTTATGCTTTGAAAATACCTGTGCTTAGACTAACATACTTGCCATGTCCAAATACTTACTAATAGTTGTAAAAATTTGCCTGTAACTATTACTATTAACTACAAGTATGTGATTTCGCTTTCCTTTTAGCATAGAATATGAACCTGTGCAATACCAGTGTTTTGTTTACATCTCATGCAACTTTAATCCCGTAGCTTCAATTGGTGCTATTTCAATATTTTATTTGTTACTAAAATATGCAGTTTCTAGAATAATGGAACTATTGCTACTAAAACATGTTATGGCCAAGGACTAAACTATAGCCACATCGAAAAGTTTCAAGGACTAAATCGAAATATCTATTGGTTGAAAAACATTGTCATGGCACTGATATTCGAGCCTCAAAATCATCAAAGTTAAAATTTGCATTGTGCAGGCATACAAGATGTACAAGAAACAGAGGAGCCTGGAAATAATGGACCCCACATTAGCTTCGTCTGCCGATAATGAGCAGATAGAATTGTGGGTGAAGGTAGGTTTGCTTTGCGTCCAATCGGAGGCCCAATCACGACCTGACATGGATCGTGTTGTTATGATGCTATCGAGAAAGCCCAACAATCTTGAGGAGCCCATTAGGCCTGCATATGTTGGGTCCAGATACAGAAGACACAATAATGGGGGAAGTGGATATACAGTTACAGGAACATCTGATAGGTCGAGTTCCGGGTCATATGGGTCGACAGCTTCTCAGACTGCCACGTTGACTATGAGTACATCGAGCTTTACGGGCCCAGGTTTGGATCCGCATGGAAAACGCCCTATCAAAGATTAGGCCACTGAGATATAGGAACATATTATTTATTTTTATTTTTATTTTTTGTACAGGAAATACATTTTGATTTTTTTTTTTTTATATATATATATATGGTGGTGAAAATATTTCAGGGTGCATGATGGTGATGAGTGGGCACCTTAGTAGAAGTTAGAATTAGAAGTGTAGTTGCTTGGTTAGATGCATTAGTGTGTATAAGGGATAATTTTGTAACCACAAAAATATTCATTTTTGCCTGGAATCATGTTATAGGAACATGTCACCAGTGTGTGCTGCATTTTACCTTTAGAAATCACTCTCATGGATATTTTAATGGGGGCACATGTTTAATACATTGTCAAAACGAGGCCCTCTATTTAAACTCAAAAACCACAACTAGTTATAAAGTTGTTAAATTTCATTTGAGTTTGATTGCTAGCTACTTAAAAGTCAATCACTATAAATATAAACATATAAGAAAGGAGATGTAATACTATGGAGATGTAGACTAATTGCTTGCCGTCTGAAGTCAGAATCTTTAGAAATCACATCGTAACATATATGTNAAAAAAAAAGTAAACTAGAGATTAGAGATGTTGATGGGAAGCTTGGTATCAATGATGTAGACGAGTCCTCTAGGCTCCAAGATTGAATCTTCCTATGTATTAATTTAAAACTAGTACAATGCCCGTGAACTTCACGACTGTTTTATAAAAAATTAATTATTCAACAAAAAATGAAAAATAACTAAAATTGATATTGTCAAATAAAAAAGCTATAAATAACTAATAAGAAAGTATTTTTTTTAAATATTATTTAGAATTCTAAAAAATATAAATTATTATTTGTTTTATGAAATATATATTCAGTTTTTTAAATATTAAATATTCATTTTTGTCAATATTAAATAATTAATTTGTTAATATATCCCCGTGAATAACATGGGTGCTTGAAAATTAAATATTTCTATCAAAATAAAGAAGTGAAGAAATTTATATTATTATCATAGAATGGTAAAAAGTTTAAAATACAACTAATAATTAAAAATAATAAAGTTAATTGATATTTAAAATAAACCCATGTTTTATACTTGATTTGTCA